TAGGGATGAACAGGTTTAAGAGTTTAAGAGTTTAAGAGTTCAAGAGTTTTTAAGAGTTTTAGCCAAATACATTATAATATAGTATAGATATAAACATGTTTTTCATCCTTAAAAGAAGGAAAAAAGCAGCCTCTAAAACAAATTGAAAGGAAAAAGCCATGCACATGATATATATCAACTTCGGCGCTGTCACGGACACGGTTACGTTATTGACCTTTTCTCACTTTTTTAATAAAGCATAATCATTAATTCAAAATTTATATAAATATTTAATTAATAACTTTATTAAATGCACTTTTGTCTTTACGTTTTAGCTTACACGCTATTATCTTTGTATTTTTGTAAATTTTTTAAAGAATTATATTATTTTAAATTTTTAAAAATTTCAAAAAAAGTTTACTATAACAAATGTCCAAACTTTTAATATTAATTTCTCATATTTAAAATCAAAATAATATTATAAAGATAATAATTATTTTTATTAACCTGGATATCCAATCCATTATGCAAGTCGACTAATCGTAGGACAACCACCTGTTTTGCAGATAGCTTAGAGTCATTGTATTTGAACCTCCATGACTACAAATAGATTTTTATTCCTCTTTGAATTTTAACTTGGGATCTTCATATGCTTTTGACTTTCGAAGATAAACTTAAACCAATCAAACATTATTATTGTGGTTTAAAAATAATAATTATATATTATATATGAATAATCATGATATATGAATAAAATATCTAAATATTTTAATGGAGGAGGAGAAATAAGGCCCCATTATGATTGCCATTAACATTCCATCAATTTAATTAATATTATCCAACATGTCAATTAACATGCTTACTTCATTCATACCTATTTATTACTTTTTTATTTATTTATTTTTAATTTATTTATTTTTTTACTTTTATGTTAAAAATATTGAAATTCTTCACTAGTATTCTTTTTAGGGGAACAACAGCCAGAAACAGCTGCTAATACACATAGTAATTTTTTTAGTATCAATTGGGTTGATTTAGCTTGACCACTCGACATCCCAGGTTCAGTTCTGGGTGTCCGGCTAGTTTCAGTCGTTAAATGAGCTTTTTGTGTTCTTTTTCCTCAGTGTTTTTGAAGACAGGTTTTGTATGGAATCGGTTGGAATTATTGATATTCAACTTTTTGATTAATAATTATATTTTTAAAATAATATTTTAATATAATAATTTCTAAATAAAAGTTTTAAGAAAAACACGTACTTGAATTACACTCTGGTGACCACCTCGACTAGACACATGGATTTCATTGGATGTCAGCAATTAAAGCGACAGCTACGCCTGGCTCTTCTAGAAACAACTAACTACCTAAACGACATCGTTATTGTCGCTGGAATGCATTTTCATATATATATATATATATATATAAATTATTAAGAAAATATAATCGAAATTAAATGTAATAACTTTAATTGTAGAATGTACAAGTAACTGCAGCAGTATTGTACAAGATCGTGGGCAAATTCCTAAAATCAAACAAATATACGCTAAAATGAGTTGTACGTTTGACGGTCAACAATCCGTGTAAACCGATGAGTCTAATGGAAATGAACAAATATGCTTCATCATGACTGCACCAATATCTAAATTGCTATTTCCACGCCGTACCACTATCTGATTTGCTAATGACACACCGCTGAGTGAACTCGGGTCTTGTATTGACTCGGTTGCCGTGATGAAACGTATGCTTTTCTGTAGAAACTCGTTTGCCACGAGTTGACTCAAGAGCGCCGACTCAGCGACGGAGTTCTTCTTCTTGTTGTGCTGCTGACGGGTCGTTGTTCGGACGATCTCCGTTAGCATTGCGGCGGATAAACGCCGGACGCCACGTTCTCCGCCTAGTATTAGTGCCGGGTTGATGGTTTTCCGGTGGGGTTTGGTGTTCTTCCGGCCGTGTTTCGGTGTCGGTGGTATTGATGAGAGGAAAATGGACTCCGGGCTGTGATTCTTGACTCGGCCGAGTGGGTCTCCGACTAGTAAAAGTTCCTTAACGTCGACGAGTATTATGTGCTTGAATTTCCGACGAACCCGACCCAGGACCATTGGGTAAGAAGCCCACCTTCTCAGACTCATGGGGACGTGGTCTAGAAATCCGGATAGTGAGTTTTCCGGGTCGAGTTCGCCAATGCCAAAACCAACAACCGACCCGTAACTCGTTCGAGTGAACTCAGTCTCATTATCATCATTGCTGAAACTCGAATTATTACTCTTCATTTTCCGACCCCAGATTGGCTCTCCTTTATGCGCCTCTTTGCCGGGTTTCACGAACCGGGTCACGTCGAAACTCGCCGGAAAGTCGACAACTTTACTTCCATTTCCCAATTCTGTTTTGTACCGGTGAACGAGTTTCAAGAACAAATCATTCTCTTCCTGGATTAAATCATCGAAGGAATCTATCGTTGAAATGGAGTTAAAGATGAACAAAAGGTCCGATTTTGCCGCTAAACCAGACCTGTGGAAGGCTCGCATGAACAATTTAAGTTCTTTCGTGGTCACCGACTCAGATACATGGCAGATTACGAGCTCATTCATGGCCGTCGTGCCTCGTGTATAGAGTGTGCCGAGCCCCTGTAACGCCGGTGAATGAGATCTTGGTTTGGGACGATTCTGAGAAAGATAGCGGCGATATTGATGAAGATTATGATGGTTGGAGATGAAATCGTTGTTGGGTTCGAAAGAAGAGAGAGTAAAGAGGAGGAAAGTGAGGAAGATGAGCAGAGCACAAATGGAGATGGTGGATTGAGCTCTGGTGAAGATATGGCTGGAATTTGTTCGTTTAAGAAACCCCTTAATCGTTGCAGATTTAAATGGCGATAACGATGATGTTGGTGTTGAAGAATTGAAGTGTTCTTCAGGGAAGAAAACCAAGAAAATACCCATTCCCTCACCGGCGCTGCTTCCTTACTTGAATTCTGCTTTCAACCTCGAATCTTTCTCTCTCTAGATTCCATTTTTAAGTAGACTTCTGTTCTTCAAGAATTGGATTCCAATCTCCTTCAGTGTGTGTGTGTGTGTGTGTTTTTGCCTCTGCTTCCCCCTCTGTGTCTCTTCTATTTTAGAAAAACTGTGATTCCATTAAATAAATACGTGGGTTTCGTCTGAAACCGCGGGTCTTCATCATTACATAATGAAAAAGGAAAATGGAGGGGCTTTTTTTGAGAAAATGTAAAAGTATAAGGGGTGAAATTGAAAATACGGAAACTTTTCTTGTCTCGAAATGTTCATCTTGTGAACATCATCTTATTCTTATCTTTTGACTTTGGAAGCACGAAAGTGACACCGTCACGTCGATATCGTTAGCTCCGTTAACTTCATAAGATTATTTTTAACAAATTTTAATACAATAAAAAACCAAAATTACGCTTTAAAAATACAACATTAATTTATATTATTAAAATATTTAATAAAATATTATTTATATTTTTTAAATACTTAATTTTAGAAGTTTTTATTGGTGATGAAAATGTCCTTTTTTTTTTATTAATCTAGATATCCAACTTGCTATGCAAGCCGACTAATCCAAGACGACCACTTACTTTGCAGATAATCTGAAGTCATCGCATTTAAACCTCCAAGGCTATAAAGAGATTTTTATTGCTTCTTGAATTTAAAATTGAGACTTTTTGGTGTTTTTTATCTTTGTTCTTATTTTTAGTTTGTAGGCAGAGGAGTTATGACGTTAATTCTTTAAAATAGCAAAACCTTTTCATGGAGAACCATTAATTGATTAAAGTTAGTTGGTGCTTTTTGCACTATGTATGGAAAAGGGAACAAAGGAAAAGTAGGAGGGGGTGAAGGGTAATAATTAGTGAAGGCAGGGGGGTTAATGAAAATATTGGAGAGAAATTGAAGGTGGTGGGGGTGGGGTGTCGTGTGTTGATTTGCTGGGGTGTCGGTGGTGGGAAATAAATTTTACAAGCGTATGTGCGTGTAGTACAACTACATGCACGAATAATTGTTGAATTATTAGCATATTATTTTCCATCAAATTGGAAAAAATAAAAAGATTTGGGTTTAAATGATTAATTTTTTTAAAAACAATTGATAACGATTGGGTTAAAATGATTAACAGTTGCGGACTCAAGATTTTTATTGAACGGATGTATTTTCCAATTAAATCGAATGTCTGTAAAGTTGTCTGTTGTGTTTTTAATCAAATTCTACCGTTTCAAAGATTGTTTTTTAAGGTTTTTGATTGATTTCATATTGTTTTTTAAGGTTTTTGATTGATTTCGAGGGTTTTTTCGGTTTTTTTATATTTTCTAATATCCCAAAGTACTGTTCAAAGTTTTGCACCTTTCATACAAAAAAATTTTACTTGCGAAATTTAATTGAGTAGAGCTAGCTGGTTCTCCCCGAAATGCGTTGGGGGCGCGTGGGACCCGCTCGAATATGAATAAGGGGCCGTTTACTCAATTGCTTACCCGGTAAGCGCTTACTGATAGGAGTTAACATTACGATTTATTTTGATGCGTAAAATTTTAGTAGATCAAAACATATCGAATGCAACAATTTATTAGATAAACACTTACTTGGGTAAGAGTCATCATCCTCACTTACCGGGTAAGACTCTCAATCATTCTTATCGTTCTTACCCGGTAAGATTATTGACTCTTCTCATGTTCATCCGATGATGAAATTTATCCGGTAAACACTTACTAAGTAAGTGTTTAGTAAACGGCTCCTAAGTCCATCACTGATTTATAACGACTTCGGTGATCGACAATGCTTTTTTTATTTAATTGAATTTTATAAGTAATTAATATATTAAATATTAAATATTAAATATAATTATACATGTGTTGGTGGTGAGTTTTATGATCAATGATTTTTATGATTGTGATATAACGCATCTTTCACTAAAATAATTAAGTGTATGAGAATAATAGTTTTTAAAAAATACAATGTGATCGTCATTTTCATGCACATCAACATCGTGTATTACGTGGGTCAAACAAAAATCATCATGAACGAAAATATTCTTGCGTTGCATGTGGCATATATTATACTACCTTATAAATCAAATTTATCAAAAGTTTTAAAAACAATTTTTTAATGCACAAAGTATTATACATTTATGTACAAAGTCTTAAAAACAACTCATAATGCATTTAAATATTACTACTTTATGCATTCAATCTTAAAATCTTTTAGTCTACAATTAAAATAACATATAGTACAAGTTATCAATGCATATTATTACCTTTTATTTTCATGTTCCCAAGATATTTTTAACATTTTTTACTCATGCATTCACCATCTCATATCTCTATGTCTTCTTCTCATCCCTCAATGTGAGATTCAAATTTAAATTCACCATAAATTGTTAAAAGTTATCTCATTCAATTGCTTTAGAACTTCCAGTCTCGCTCTCGATCTTTTGATTATTTGTTCTTGGTGTAAATCGAACACATTTATGGAGCCGTTTAAATATGTTGGATTTTAAATTGTCATACAATTTTTTTCATCGATAGACTGTAATTGGAACCATAACTCTTATTTATTCAAATTGTATTAATATGTAAAGACCAAGTGTAACTTATATCATCGTTAAATATTCTCTAATAAAACCAGTGAAACTTCAAAATCGTTAAAATTCATGACTCCCACCGTATTGCACGGATACACAACTAGTATATATATATATATATATATATATATTATTCAGCACAATACGGAGGTATCTAGCAATATATATTGTGGTTTTGAAGCATTGATTTGATATTTCGCTACGAGATTGATATTATTTGACTCCAATTTAATAAGCATTTGTTAAGAGTTTTTATGGCATACATCCCGAGGGATATTTTCTTCATGATTCGAAGCAACATACTTCTCAAATCGATTCATTTTTTTTTAATCTATTTCTTATATTTTATACCAACGATTTTCATTTTTAAAACTCATGTTTTGGATATTATTTAATTAAAATAACATTTCCAAACACACTAATGAATATTAACATATAAAAGAACTTGAGTGTTTAATTTATATTGTATTATAAAATATTTGACAAAAACTCTTAAAAACCATTTTTTATGTATGAAGGGGGTGTTTGAGATTGCTTATTTAAAACAACTTATGTTTTTTTTGTAAAAGTGTTTATTAACTTATGTGGTATCAAACCGGAGTTCTGTAAAAAATGTTTGGATTAGCTTATAACGGTACCAAAAAGTAATAAGCTAATAAGTTGTTTTTTAGTATTTGGCAAATTTTGCTTATATATGTAAAATGACCAAAAAGGACAACGTTATTATTAACTTGTGGGAGTGTTTGGGATTGCTTATTAACTTATTTGATTTATAACATATAAAAAATTATTTTTCATCATTTATAATAATATCTTTGACAAAAATTTATACTACCGTGTACACCGGAATTCCCCTTTGTAAATCTTTTTATACATAACCATAACATTCTGATCATTAAATGGTAAATAACCAGCCATTAACACAAACAAAATCACCCCACAAGACCAAATATCAACCTTAGAGGCTTCATATCTTCTTCTTGCTAAAACCTCTGGTGCGACATATGCCGGCGTCCCACAAAAGGTGTGAAACAAACTATCGCCTCTGATTTGTTCAGAAATGGCACTAAGCCCAAAATCAGAGACCTTCAAGTTACCATCTTCATCTAGTAATATGTTCTCAGGCTTCAAAGAGTTGGATGATTTTTGGGTGGCGGACATGGCTGAGGATAGAGAAATTCGATTTCTTTAAAACCCATTTTCTCAGACTTCCCTCTAATTTGTTTCTTATCGATGACTTTAATGGCGACAGATTCATTGGTTTTGAGTCTTTTGACGTTGCGAGCAAGGTAGACTTTGGAGAAGGTGCCATGGCCGAGAAGTTTTCCGATCTCGTAACGGCCAAGGAGGAGAAATTGGCCTTCTTCCCTTGTGGTGGTGGTGGGTGAGTTTGCTGCCATGGCGGTGAAGTTGTTTATGGGTTGGAGATTTACAAATTTAATTGGGTTTTCCTTAAACATTTGGAATTTGGGGGTTTGCTTGTGATCTGGCTGGATTTTTGTTGATGATGTTTGTGAGGTGCATAGAAACAGAAGGTTTGTTTGTGTTCGTGAAGATGAATATCTGGAGAAGAGATATCGATCAAAGGATGTCACATTGGGTTAAAATGGTAATCTGGTAATAAGTTGATTTTCATAAGTCAAGAAGGATTAACTTATCAAAAACTGTTTATTACCGGTTTGACACCGGTATAAGCAGTTTTTTTTCCTTACCCAAACACTAAAAAATAGCTTATCTCTTGTGCCAGACTGAAATAAGTTAAAAAACTGATTTGATAAGTAATCCCAAACACCCCCGAAGTGTTGTATATTGATGCATATTACTTCAAATTCAAGATTACAAGTACTTATGCATAAATACAACTTATTAAAGCTCGATGTTTAAATTCGTGTAACTAACTGTAGATAAACATAATCAAATAGAGTATAAACATCTCATTTTAAAATCTAAAAAATCTAAAATATAATTAGAATTATTATCGAGTTCTAATAAAATAATTAATTAATATTTTTATGAAAAAAATATATTATTATACCAAATATAAATTACTTCATTATTGAACTTAAATTAAATTATAATATAATAAATTAAATTAAAAAAAATTACACAAAAAATGAGAAATTTTAAATAGTTAATTTGATACTAATATCGATATATTTTTATCAAATTTTTATGATGTCTTTAAATTTATATTTTATTTAAAGATAAAAACATTATCGATTTCTCAAATCATATAAGACTATATTATAACATCGACTGAGATAAAGAATAAAATAAAATATTAAAATAAAGATGTATCTCAATACATTACATGAGTACTCTTCTAGTGATCATTAAAACATTTAAGATAGTGAAGCTTATATAATTTATTAAAATAAAACTATACCAACAATATGTAAATTCCAAAACTTTGAGGGTCAAAGTTGAAAGTCAATAATTCTCACCAGATCTTGACCCATAATCTATTTGCCGACCCGTTTTCAAAATCAATCTAGAGTCAACTTCGATTTTGACAAACTTTCATACCAGCATCGTATGTAACATTTTATATAGATATATGAATAATCATTTTATCGATTATTCAAATGTTGATTTGCTTTAGTGTACTAAAATGTTGACAAACCATTATTTTAGAAACGAAAAGGCAATGGCCTAACGACCACTTAAAACCATAAGGATGATGTCTGGTTGGTTTGAGCTTGGTTCCAAAGGTCAAAAGTATTAGGAGGTCTCAGGTTCAAATCCAATTAGAAATAAAAATCCTTTTGTGGCCACGGAGGTTCAAATGCGATGACTTCGGTCTATCTACAAAGCAGGTGGTTGTTCTGAGATTAGTCGGCTCGCATAGCGGGTTAGATATCCAGCTTAATTGGAAAAAAAAAACAATGGCTTAATGACCACTTAAAACCCAATATAAATTGACCAATCAACTTGAAAAAAAGTTCTAACATTAGATTCAAATAACATGATGAAGTCTATATACGACACTTACTTTCAACATTGCATAAAAGTCAGCTATTCGATACAAAATTTCAATTAACGTGTCACATGCTAACTTACTCCTGCCAATCTTGACAATATAACGTGAAACGATGCTTACATTTTCAAACTTGTTCAACATATTTTTCTTATACATAACAAGATCAAAAAAAGATACATAAGATATAAAATAACCATCTAGCATAAATGCATGTAGTTGTCATACGTTCTCTTTCCCCTTTTGCTGCTTGATTATGCTATGTATATAGCTTAGTGAGCCCATATAGAACTCAACATGCATACACTTGATAAAAGGTTCGGGCACTCTCATCAACGTGGAATCAATATTTTGTAACAACGAGTAATTTCGTAGTGATATATTTTCAACATCTTACCAATTTTTTGTATTCGTGGAAATACAACATTTGGCAGTCACTGAAATCTTACCATACCTGGCACTCTTGATGTCGTAGTTTTAAGTATAAGAGACGAAAACAACAATTAACTGTAAACCATAAAGACAAAACAACAAAAAACTATAAATCACTATAAACCACAATAAATTATGAAAAATAGGAATAAAAATCACAATTTAAAAAATACATAAACAAAAATAGAAATCTTCTAAAGACCACATGAATATAAAATGCTAGTTTCAATTTCGGGGTTGTTTGATTGTTGCTGAATGAGTTGGTGCAGAATGATTAAGTGATCAGAATGATTAAGATGCTTTCATGATATAGTGCAAAATAAAATATAATTGTTTGATAATTGTTTACAATGAAATTTGCGCACTTAATGGTTAAGGGAGACCCATGATGCAAAATCATTCAGAGAGTTGTGGAACCATTTAGAGGCAGACTTTTTGTTGTTAGACAAGATTCACCTTTTAATGATTCAGATATTGTCTATTAATGAAATTATTAAGAAGTAAACAAACAACCTCTTTCTTGTGATTTTTGTGGAACCACCGTCGGGTCAATGGATTTGGTTTACTACTTTATGATATGTTTTTATTTAGTGGCATTGCATGATGTATTAAAGCAGGACTTTCCTTGTTTATTTTTTATTATACAGATTTGTTTTTATGTAGTTATCTGTTTTAAGAAAATTATAAATAATTTGTTAGAGCATTTTCAACAAATTCTTAAAAAATTGAGATTCAAAATTCAAAATCATTAAAAAAAATCGTATTCAACTCTAACATATTCTCTAATTTGAATATTACAACATTAATTATATGACTGAAGTATTGTATACATGTAATAAAATATTATTCTCTTTTATAAAAATTTAAAATCAAAGTTTTTTTGCATTGGTCAGAATATAATGAAACGTAAATTATGTGTGTAATTGGGAACTTTGAAAACTTGCGGGGCTATTTTATAAAATAATTTACTGTTGTTGAATCACAAGTTTTCTTCTTCACGCACCGCAGACGGCCGCTCCTCCCTTCATCCACCCTCGTTTCAGGCGAACGGATTTTCTGCTCCCTCACCGCCGACTGCCGCTCCTCCCTTCACAGCTATATCCGATCACCTCCCTTCTCAATTTCTTAAGACCAAGTAACTCTCATCTTTAAAAACTGCAATCTCTTTCAAAATCATATTGAAGTACTTTGTTTAACTCTGAAATTGACAAGTTTGAAGCATGAATCGGTGAATGTTGTTGGATATTTGGTTCTAGGTTTTGTTTGCACTTGATTTTCAGTATTTAATTTGAAAGTTTAATGATGATACCTCATATTCGAGTATGCGTTGATTTTAAGAACCCTATATTAGTAGGTCTAAAACATTTTCATGGGGATTGTATACCGTGACATAAAAACCGTATTGTATGTTGAAATTGTGGATTGGTTTTGAATTGTGTTCTATTTTGGTCCTTAGGGGAAGATGTTTTTCCACATTGTGCTGGAGCGAAACATGCAGCTTCACCCTCGCCACTTTGGTCGCGACCTTCGCGAAAAGCTTGTTTCGAAGCTCATGAAAGACGTAGAGGGCACTTGCAGGTTTTGATTCTTAAAACAAATGCTATGCATTCCATTGCAAACAACTTTTTCTTTAACTTGGTGTGTTTTGCTTTACAGTGGTAGGCATGGTTTCGTCGTGGCCATAACGGGTATAGAGAATGTAGGGAAAGGGCTTATTCGAGATGGCACAGGTTTTGTTACTTTTCCGGTCAAGTATCAGTGTGTTGTCTTTCGGCCTTTTAAAGGGGAGATCTTAGAAGCTGTTGTCACCATGGTTAATAAGGTCATATAATTGATCCAGAGGGTATAATTGATGGAAACATACTTTAGGATGATTTAAAGATAATATTTTGTTACAACTTTTGCAGATGGGTTTCTTTGCTGAAGCTGGGCCTGTTCAAATATTTGTGTCAAACCATGTCAGTTTTCGGCTATTGAAATTCCATCTTTTGGTTTCCTTGTTTGTACTTTATACTTCGTGCAACTGTTCCTAACTTTTCATTAGAAGTTGATTTGGTGTTTATATAAAGAAGAGGATGAGTGTACAATAATTGTGCATGTATGTTGACAATTGAATGTCTTGTGCTCACATGAAAGATGATTTTGTTTTTGTACAAATCATGATTTGTGAGATGTTACGACTCCTAGAGCAGTAATGTTTGGTTTTGCCATTTTGCTAGCCACTATCCGGTATATATTGGCATGTGATGAATGTTTCAGTCTTTCTTTCTCCTAATGCGAATGCACATCAAAAAATTTATTTTCTAACTGCTAGTTTGGTCTTGTACTTTTTATGCTAAAATACTTTTAGATCTAGTGACAATGTTGTATAATTAAATAGGTCAAAGTTATAGGGTGGGGAAGTTGGAATAGTGGTAATTTAGGAGCTAGTTCAAAATTATAAAGTGAACTTGAGGTTGAGGATTAACCTTCATACTGATTTGGTTTTATTTATTTGTTTAGAGATCATATAGTGGAGAATTCATTTAGTTTGTGTTACATTTACGATTTAAAATGTTTATATGACCTTATAATTGGCTGATTAAAGTTTTTAAGAAATAAATTATTGTTATTATAATGTTTGTAAATCTTGGTTCTGCAATTTTGATTCCCACTTTGACTTCTGTTATTGTTACACAAATTGTTACTATAAAAAAAACAGTTACTCATATCAGAATTGAAATCATATTTAGCATATCAAAATTGGATGTGTAGCTACAAATCTGTAATCGAACTTTGTCATTCATATAACTCTTGATCCAGTCCACTAAAAGGCGCATTGGCCATGTAATCAAGTCTCGAAATCGGAACAGAGGAAAATACAGCTTCATTGCAAATGATAACCTAGGAGGTCTTGATAACATTACTTTCTTAGTTAATACGAGATGATAGTTTTATTTACTTTCTGCTTGTGAATAATGAACATAGTTTACATTCTGATAGTATGAGCTGAAAAGCTACTGTTCTACTTATGAGAATTTTCTGACATTCTAATCTCTTTTCCCTTTCAGTTGATACCCGATGACATGGAGTTTCAGTCAGGGGATATGCCTAATTACACAACCTCAGATGGATCTGTATGAACCAGATTTTTCTCTTTTCATGTTTTCTTGTTTGTACTTGCCGGGTCGACTGATGCATATTTGATCTTATTCCCCTTTTGGACTTCTCAGGTGAAGATTCAAAAGGACAGTGAGGTCCGGTTAAAGATCATTGGCACTAGAGTTGATGCCACAGAAATTGTAAGTTATCAGTTCTATCTCCTTTCTTCATGTTGTATAATTAAGTAACTCTACTACCTAGTTTGAAGAGTACCAAGATTCAAAATTTACATGCATATGCTTTCCACTAGCCATGTAAAATAGGCATCCAACTAGCTATGCTGTTATAGCGGTGAAAATATAAAATTGCGGTCAGGACCGATATTTGAAATAGCGATTGTAGTGGTGGTATAGCGATCCAAAAATCGCGGTTCATATAATATTTCTTAGAGTTATATATATATATATATATATATAATAATATATATACGTATGCTGGAGCAAAAACTGTTTGAGGACTTGAGGATCGATGATGAAGAAGAAGGTGGACTGGATCAGAAGCTGTTGAGGACCGACGATGAAGAAGAAGGTGGAGTAAAGCAGAAGCTGTTGTCGACTCAGTGGAGGACAGGAGAAGAAGGTCGAACTTTTCTTGGTTGACTGTTGTTGTCATCGAACTCGGTAATGAAGGATATGATATTGGAAATAAATTGAAAACCTAACCTTCTAATTTAAGTTTCTAAACTGTGTGTTGATAAGGGCCCAAATCTGATTAGAAGCCCAAGTCAAAAACCCAAAAAAAATAAAAAATAGCAACATAGTTCTAAAGAGGCCCAAGCTAAGATATCGGAATATCGATCCAATTTCACCTCAAATATCGGTCAATTACGCCACTAATATCGGAAACGCAATTTTCACCGCGATTTTACCAATTAATAGCATAGCCAACTAGCCATATGGTTGACATTTTTATAGCAGCATGATGCTCCCTTGATGCTCCTTTAGCTGGAACTAAGCCTTGGTTTCTGTTTTTCCCCAAGCATTGCCAAAAAGGTTCCATCATGGGGAACATCTTAGTATGCTTGAAGCATGGCTTATAATTTCCTAAATCCCTGATATATCATTCCATATAAATCACATTAAAAGATATTTTCAATTAAGACTAGTGACCAGTACCTGATTTGCCATGTTTGATTAATCCCAAAGACGTCTATTCATTTTTTACTCTTGCCATGTCAAACATGTCACATTGCATAGAGCACAACTTATCCTAAAAGCAAATGTCAAATTCATATGGGTAGAACATGCCCGAAAACCCAGGATATAACAATCATTTTGAGAACCTTGAGGGATAGCTCAACTGGCAAATAACGGCTAGGTCTCAGGCAGCAGGCTCCTCCCAATAGGTGACCAGTTCGAGTCTCCTCATGCACACTGGGGGGTTTTCTGGCTATAATCTTCAGGACCCCATGGGATTAGTCTAGGTGAAGGCAAACTGTACCAGACACACGGTTACAAAAGAAATCATTATAAAGATTGATTTCATCATTGCCATGTGTTTCATCATAATGTAGCCTGGTCCTGTTGGCATATGCAATGTACAGTAGGGAAACGTACTACACAAGGGGAAAAGGGGATTTGTATCCTGAGCTTATGCCACCAAGCGAAATGCTTGATAGCATTCTTATGGATTTTGTAGTCATTGAAAATTGGATGCTCCAAAGCGAGCATCAGTGAACATGTGTTGAAGGGGGATATTGGCGAGAACAAGGCTAATATAATCTCTTATTTTGGACGGAAAAGTACATTACATCGTCTGTTTTAGGATTGGCGACTTACTGATGCTAGCGATGATATTGATGTGTCAGAATGTTAAATCTTATAATACATTCAATATTGGATGAAGCAGATGCACCATCTGATATGTCACATTTTGGTGTTGAATTGTTTATTCTCGCAAGATACCAAAAACTGGTTCTGTATAACTGATGACAGGCGTTTAGATATGAACATGCAAAAGTATGTTTAAACCTGGATTGGGAAAAAAAGCTAGTTTAAATCCAATGTGGTGGCACACATAGAAATCCCGACCCTAATCCAGAAAACCCATGTGGCCTTGTTTGCTTCTAGGGGTGTTCATTGGTTGAAATTCAATGTATTTAGGTTTAACCAATCCAATCTGATGGATGTGGATCGGAGTGGTTTCATCCAGTTTTCCAATCAATTAATCTGCTATTTCAACCTATTAGTAATATATTTGGCTAATTTCTGTAAAAACACTACATACAAATAAAAAAAAAATTATTCTTAATTATATGTTTATCGATTGAATGATAATTGAATTAGATTGGTTTCAGTTTTTATGAGTATGTAGACTGCCATCCAAGAAGTGACCCATCCATTTGGATGTTGCAAATTTGGATTTGATCTGATCCAATTTGGGTCGTTCGGTTCTAACTAATTCCGATGACTTTCTGTACACCCCTATTTGCATGTATTTTATAGACATGTATATGGGTTCATAACTTGATATTTCGTGCTCTCTTCCTCTTTTTTGACGATGTTCTTTGTGTTACCAATGTATCTGTTTACATCCTTTTCCAAACACATGGTATTTATCTAGCACTACTCTTGCTTTGCAGTTCTGCATTGGTACCATTAAAGATGATTTCTTGGGCGTGATTAGTGATCCCGGTACAACTTCTTAATTGCATGGGGGTTGTCAAAGAGTCCTAGCCTCTGTGCTCTTTCTATGATGGTTGCGTTATGAATGGTCGGTGTAAGTTCTCGCCCGCATAACTTGTTTCTTTCACTCACCATTCTGAAAAAGAAATCACGGTAGGCCTGCTACAATATAAACCTTATTTCACCAACGTTTATGGGTCGTATATACATTAGTAGAAACCCTAGATGGAATATACCGTGTTTGTTTGATTTATATAGAATAGTAGCACAAATTCGGTTTTCTTATGGTTGGACACCAAGCCTTCTTGTACTAGCATCATATGAAACATCAACAACTACTAATCCATTCTAGAACTAGATTCTGATTCTAATTTGGGAATTTGTTTTTAATTTCTCAATTTTTAGGGCTAAATTGCATCAAAATACAATGAAGTTTGATGTAGTTCCTATTTAATGTAATGGATCATTTTTTTTTTCTAGTTAGATGTAACAAAGCTTCAAAATTTTGTACTGATACCTTATTTGACCGTTGACCTCATGATCTTGTAACATTTGATGACGTGGATACCTGTTTACAGAAGAGTTGCAGCGAAGTCGATGATAAACTTGATATCCAAGTCTCAAATGCTACAAGGTAGTAAGGTTAGCCGTGAAATTGGGTACAAGATAAGAAAATTTGAAACTTCGTTAAATTGATTTTGAGGGGGAAAAAAATTCTTCGTTACAGTAAATATGAACTAAGATAAATTTCGTTGGTAATATTTATCTGTTACAATATATTGCATGAACAGATGGAATTTATTATCTGCAAGAGGTGCATATTTTGTTGTTAATTAAGAGATATATGACCAGAACTTGCAGCTAAAAGCATGAAACTGATTTTCATGTTTTGGCTCTTGTGGTATGCAAGTTTTGTTTCAATAAAATGGTTGGCTTTTGAAAATGTCCCGTTTTTATTTTGTTAATAAATGGGTGACCATGCCAGTTTATGCCCACCTTTGCTAAATTCAGAGGTCCTCAAGAACAATTAGGACAATCTCCAAATGTTCAAGTCTTATTGTCATCCTGGAATCAAACCCATTTTCACATCCAAATAGAGATGACCAAAAATCAGTCTCGGACCGTTCGGTCCCAACCCAAGTGGTTATAGTGTAACTGGCCTTTTGGAGTTATTTGGGTGGAAGAATCCATCGCACCGAGTATAAAAAGTGGTATTCAACGTAACAGGTGTTGATCCCGGTCTCAAATTCGTCTGCGCCAGACTTGGTTTTAAAAAAAAATCAAATCTTTTTTACACATGAATGTCGCACAAGTTCTTATAACAATGAGTTTTGAAAAATTGAGAATCCGAAATATACTTTAAATATTATATTTAGTTAAAAACTTAAAAATAATCATAAAAAATCACTTTAAATATTACATTTATTATAGCATCACTGTTATGATGCTACAAATTACAGGATAAAAAACATGAAGGGGAATTTATAGAAATGACATTTTCAGGTTTTGGATTCGGAGTTTTTTTTTTTTTTTTTTTTTCCGATTCTAAAAAATATTATCATCTTCATAAGTGACATAATCTTCAATTTTTGAAGGGGTCAAAATATAAAAAGAAAAGGTTTTTGAACCACGTCTACAAGTGCAAGAACCAAATCTGTAAATTATGGGACTAATTTACATAGTTGGTTCTTACACTTGCGGACCAAGTTCTGAAACTTTTTTCTAACACTTTGGCTCCTCTGCAAGTTGAAGAGTTGTTATTTGCGGAGGTAGTGGTATTTTTGAAATATCTGAAGAAAAATGATTAAGTATTGAATACAAAGTCAGAAAATAACTATTTTAATTAATTTCCCAAATATAAACTGACTAAAATATTTCCGTTTGTTAATATTTTAAAATAATGTTAAGAAATATCAAGTTTGGTTTTAAGAAACCGCCTCATTATTTAATAAATATTAGAAGATACTTGTACAATGTAGCGAGATACATATTTATTTTAATGTTTCGTTTTATTTTTTGTCTTTGTTGAGATAATACGGTTTATATAGTTTTGAGAAAGATAATGTTTTTACTTTTAAATAAAAATGAATTTGAAGACATCATAATTTTTTTTTTAAATATATCAATATTAATATCAAATTAACTATTTAAAAGCTCTTATTTTTATATAATTTATTTAATTTATGTTTTTATTATAATTTAATTTATGTCAAATAGTGAAGTAATTTATTTTTGACTTAACAATAAATTTTTTTTATAAAGATAATGATTCTGTTAGAACTCGATAATTACACTAATTATATTTTAAATTTTTTATATTTTAAAATGAGATGTTTATTCTCTATTTGATTATGTTTATCYACAGTTAGTTACACGAATTCATACATGGAGCTTTAATAAGTTGTACTTATGCATAATTTACTTGTAATCTTGAATTTGAAGTAATATGCATAAATATACATTACTTCATACATAAAAAA